TGTAAGCTAAATTCTGTACTGTATAATAATGTCAACATGATGGAAACAATCCAAACAGAGGGCATAGTACATTTGGAAAAGAGATTAAATTTAAGAGCGGTTTGTGTCAGGAGTGCTATGGTTTGACTGTGTTTCCCAGAATTCATGCATTAGAAATTTGGTCCCTGATGTGGCAGTATTGGAAACTGGAGCCTTTAAAAGGTGACTAGGTCAAGAAGCATTACTGCCACTTGCATGCTGGACTGGATTAATTCTCACAAGAGTGAGTGGGTTCTCCCTGTCACACGAGTGGATTAGTTCTCACTGGAATGATTAGTTCCCTAGAAAGCAGGGTGTTATAAAGCAAGGACACTCTCCTGTTTTCCCCCTTTCTCATGCGCCCACTTTCCCTTAGCCAGTAGCTTGAGAGAAGGAGGAAAAGACAACTGAAATGCACTGTGTAAACTAACTTTTAGGACAATGTAGCTCAGATGTGTGGACAAAGAAGATAGTGTAAATGTCAACATGACTCCATCAAGGTACTGTGTCCCAATTGTTGACATGGAAAATGTACTAATACACTAAAGAAAATATTCTGAAAGTCCACCCTGCACTCACATATTCCTTCATTTTTTTGCATCCGTGCCACAAATATTTACTTAATGAAATACTAGAAATCAAGGAGTGGACAAGCAAGACGCTATNACATGGAAAATGTACTAATACACTAAAGAAAATATTCTGAAAGTCCACCCTGCACTCACATGTTCCTTCATTTTTGCATGTGCCACAAATATTTACTTAATGAAATACTAGAAATCAAGGAGTGGACAAGCAAGACGCTATCTGTTCCCTGCTGAAGAATACTATCTATTGTGGGAGGCAGTTTATAAAACAAATAATTACTTGATAATGATAGCGATGAGTGCTACAAAAATACGGCTTCTCTGAAAAAGTGACGTTTCAGGGGAGATTGCAAGGATAAGAATCAAACAGGCAGAGAGGTATTGAAGAGCAGTCTGAGAATAGAGAGCAGCAGTTGCAATGGCTGGTATGCTGCATTTGGTCACAGAATAGAAAGATTAGCGGAGCTGGAATATAGTGACAATGGACTCTTTGATTTTAGTGAAAATCAACTTGAGATGTCCTTTAGTTCACCTTTTTGCTTATTAAAACCATATCCATTCTTCTGTCTCAAATGTCTATTCCAATGCTTAAGCCTTTCCTGAAGTTGCTATTATTTCCTCTGAACTTCCAGAACAGTTTGATGACATCCCTCTTATAGCACCTCTGTATATTATAATTCAAGACTGATTTATTCTACCATCTATACTGAGCCATAAACTCCTGAGTATAAGATCATTCCCTGCTAACCTCTGACTCCTCTGAATCCCTGGAAAAGTACATTGTGCAGAGAGGAGCTCANTACCTTCCCCTCTCCTTGTATAGAAAAAGGCATGCAAATAAAAGGATATTTACTGCAACAAACTGAAGCGATCTGACCATCAACTAGAGAATTGGCACAAAATTGTCCTATTGAATATATTGTGGCATGTTTCTTTGTTTTCCAGTGAAATAGATCCATATTTACTGACATGAAAAGTTTTCCATAATATGTCACTGAATGAAAAAAGAGCAGCTGCAGAACCATATAGCTGTAATATGATACCAAAACGTGTAGAAAGGAGTGAGAGGCAATAGAGTGTAGTGGTTAGAAGGAAAAAGCTGAAACAGACCAGCTTGATTTGAGTCTAAACTCAACCTTTCAGTAGCTGTGTGACCTTGGAAAAATTAATTTACCTATCTGAATCTCAGTTTCCTCTTCAATACAAAAGAGATAATAAAGCATATTTACCTTACAGGGTTATTGTGAGTATTAAATAAATTTTTACATGTGAAGCATTTAAGACAGCACCTACTATACTTTTGGCATTCTGTGTAAGCTAAATTCTGTACTGTATAATAATGTCAACATGATGGAAACAATCCAAACAGAGG